TGCAGGGGACTGTTGGTGGAGGAGGCTTTGGTCACTCCAATAGGACTAAAGCACCAAGCTCTGTTGGACAGGTCAGTTTACATGACATTATTAAATGATTATATCCCCCTTGCTATGCTCCTAGTAATGTAGCAGAGAGGGAAATATAAAAAAAAATAATGCTTTTCTTTGCTCACTTTTTTTCTTCCTCTGTCAGGTCTACTTTTGTCAGCATTCTTCTTATATTTGGTATGTGGGTAGGTCTTAGGAAGACAATGTCAGAGTTGACTTTGAACGTCTGTGTGACTAGCAGTACAGAATGTTGTATTTTACTTCACTGTGTTGATACTCATTTGGTTGTAGAATATATCTGAGTTAGAAGTGTGATGACTGAGTCTTGTTTCAACTGGTACCCCATGTCAGGCCAAGTCAAGGTAGGACTGAGTCTTGTATGATACCCCTTGTCAGGCACTGGCTGGTGGTGAATGATAAGGACCACTTCATCACAGCTCGGCAGGAGCCGTCCCTTGTCCTGGTGAAGTCCAGCCTGGCTGAAGATGGGAGCCTGTGCCTGGATGCACCTGAAATGGACACCCTGAAGCTGCCAAGCAGTCTGCAGGAGGGCAGGCTTGTCCACACAAAGTAACTTCAATGGTCATATTCACTTCTGGGGTGCCTTTTTTAGCACCATTATAATTATAATAATAACATTATCATTTTTGGTGTGTTTGTTTGTTTGCTTGCTTGTGTGTCCAGGTATTTGAATACAGTAACTGTAAATTGAGAGGAAGTGAGGGGGAAACTGTGTAACTGCAGACTGACAGCAAGGTCAAATTGGGGGGTCAAAATGGCCTTCTCACACACAGTCTTGGAGGAAGTAAAGGTGAATTGGAGGATAGAATTGTCTCACCACAGGCTGTTAGGAAGTGACAGTGTGATATGTACAGAGTCAGCGAGAAATTCACAGTTATGAATATGACGATTAGAAATTCATAACAACCCTAGATCCTTCTTGTAGGTGTGAAATAAATGATTTCTTGGCATTCAACGAAATGCAATGTTATTTTATTCATATATCTGGGACTGGGATTCACCAGGCCATTGCACCTTTACAAATAATGATATTAGCTAAACCATGTCTGTGTCTCCCAGAGTGTTTGCAGTGGCAGGAGAAGGAGTCGACTGTGGAGACCAGGCTGCAGAGTGGTTCTCCTCCTACCTGAACAAGCCGGGTACCAGACTGCTGTATTCAGCAGCACAATGCAAGAAGAGGGACCTGAAAGAGTGGAAAATGTTTGCTGAGTTTGCAGAGACTGGAGATAAGGTACTTAACATTTTCAAAACAAAATCATCATCTATGTGTAAAGCGGCAAAAATTAATTCCCACTTGACATAATTTGCTTCCTTAGAAGAATTGCAATTACATGTACAAAACAATGAATCATGAATGTCCTGCACGTTCTGCAATGAACAATCTTCCTTGAGTTTGCTTTCCTGATATACAAATGTATAACATTAACCTCTACAAGTCGACAGACATCTTGGTCATTCCACTTCAGCTTCCATATTCTTTAAGTGTCACGTACTTGTGACTTCACCCCATAATCTTTCTCATTAATCTCGCTTATAGTTCTTATTACCTTCGCCAAGAAGATTATGTTTTCAGTAGCGTTTGTATGTGTGTGTGTATGTTTGTGTGTGGTTTAGCAAGATAACTTGAGAAGCAGTGGATGGATTGGAATGAAACTTGGTAGGTGGGTAGGTCTTCATGAGACCTAGAAATGATTAGATTTTGGGCTCCCTGATGGCTTTCCTAGGTACTGCAGCTGAACTTCCGGTTTTGATATCTCGTGTTCTGGACATGCTAGGGTCACGAAGTTTGGTTGGTAGATAGCTCTTGGGGTAGGGAAGAAGTGACATGAGTTTGGGTCTCCTAGCGCCTTGTTCTGGAACTGCAGGAGCATTTGTTGAAAAAAATTTGAAGGACAATAACTCAAGAACCGGTTGACGTATTGTCTTGATTTTTGGTATGTAGGTAGTTGAAGTGATGCTTGACATAATCAGATGGCAATTATGCAAATCAGGGGCTAATTTGCATAATTAATGAGGAAATTCTATAAATCTGCTTTGTTCGATAAGGCCACACCAATTTAATTTCTTGGTTAACGGATTTTTCTAGAAAAATAATGGAGCAGGCGGGCAAAAAATAAATAAAAATAAAAACAGCCCTAGGCATCCTATTATGGCCCAAAATGGTACGATAGGAGCCATAAAGTCAACACACCAGGCTGGTTCAAAATTTAAACAATGAATTTTGATTTTGATTTGATTTTATTGATACCATTGCATTGAAAGATGGAACAACTGTAACAACTAGGATGGAAAGGACTGTTATCAACTGTTCAGGGCAAAAGATGAGCATTTTGCAGTTGATTCTGAATTTTTATTTTTATTTGCAAATCAGAAAAAAATGAAGCGGCGAATCCATTAACCAAGAAATTAAATTTGTGTGGCCTAATAGAACTATGAAACACTTGTGACATCTACTTGAGAACGAGAAAAACATCTGAGGATATAGATTATGTAAATGAGGACCTAATTTGCATAATTAATGGCAAATTTTTATAATTCCATAGTTGTAACTGCTGCACCCCGAATTTCATACTTGCCACATTTGGAAGTTAAGTGAAGGTGAAAATCAATAAACATAATTTATTCAAATCATGGCCTCATTTGCATAATTTATGAGGAAGTGCCATATTAGCCTTTTTGTTATGATAAGGCTGTCATTGGATGGAGAATATGATCAACTGATATAATCCATGCAAATGAGGCTCTTATGTACAAAATCAATGATTAAAATTGTATAATAATTCGTCACCCGCAAGGGTTAACATCATTTGGCGAAGGTATGAGATTGTGGAATTCTTGTTTAGACTTGAAAACAACCTTGACCTCAAGTGGTTTTTGAGCCTTGTTTTGTGGTGACCTATGAAAAAAAGACAGCAGCACACATGTATAGCCAGCTACCTTATACATCTGATACTGTATCCACTGAAGGTTGCCTTCCCCGACTATGCTGCCTTCATGATGCTGTCTGAGGCCTCCCTGGAGAACCTGAACACCAAGCTGGACCAGCCGATTTCTATCAGGAACTTCCGACCTAACATCGTGGTGTCGGGGTGTTCTCCTCACGCCGAGGTCAGGGAACTTGTCATAGATTTCTTTTAATATTTAAAGATAACATTTGATGTAATTGATCTAAAATGGATAAGAATTGATAATTTCAGGTTAATAATAAGTCTATCCATCATGAATAGTTTCACCAGGTTGGTAAATCACTGGGCATTCAGGTTTCTTTAGACACAACAGATAATATTATGGCCTGCCAATATTTTCAATGGCAGTCCTGTCATCTTCTTGGGGGCAATAATGAAGGCTTCTCACTACAGCGCCACCTAGCAATGGGAAGTAGAAATGCTCATTATTGGCCTAAGAAAGGAGCATATGGGTTACCAAAACCAAGGACATTATACAGAATTCTTAATTCTAATTAGTGTAAGAACCTTTTCTTTAGCCAGTGTCTTAGAGAAACTTGGTAATTGATGATTCTGTCAATGTTGTTAAGAATGCCAAGAATGCTTTTAGCAGA